TTTGTATTATGAATTCTGCATCCGCAAAGAAGGTGTTATGCACACACACATCAGTATTATGTCACAGGGAAGTTTAGTTAGGGTTCTGCTCGGTTTTTATCCGTCCTCTAAAGTCCTCTCGGTTTAGTTTCTCTCTTTGATTTGTGTGTTAATTAGCACAAGTGGCTCCACCTGTGCTGATTGGTCATTCTTTACATCTGTGACAGCCTGTAATTTGCACGGGACATTTGGATTAAACCAATGAGACCAATGGCTGTTAAGTTAAATTGCCCGTGGGTGAGAGTAAATCACAACATCCATCTCTCCCTCCGTGTCTCGGCACCTTAATCCTCACTTCAAAGTTGAGACGCGCTAGCCTTTGTTGAGGCTGCTTGCTGCGCATTCAGCATTTTCAGAGGGAAATTACAATAAATTCATCTTGACTATGAGATATAATTCCTAAAAATTAATTACGATGTCATTATTAAGGATGTCACTTTACAGTTTTAGTGATTGTTGGACGGTCTTACTTGGGAATAAGGTAACTATAGAGCAAGGAATCGCTGTCAGTCTGTCTGTCACATATCTCGAGAAACGATTTGTCATGGCGCGGACAAACGAAATGTTTAATATTAATAAACTTTTATTAACATGCCAACAGCCTTGAGCATAACAATGTGATTAAAAATGTTTAAACGTTGCCCAGCACTAATATCTATATATATATATATATATCTCTAGATATATATATATATATATATATATAGATATATAATGTTTTTCCTGAACCTGAGTGTGATTCATCAGTGAGCCTTTGTCCGTTCTGAACAGGCGTGTTTTCGCTGCACTCGTACATATACACACGGACATGTTTGTGTTTGAGACTAATTTAACTACTTACACCCTTGTTTCAAAAACCCTCTGTGCGATGAAGTAGTATTGATGTATGGTGCTTTAATAACCAGTCTCATCATCTACATGTTCCAAAGATATTCATCTTTTATTCACTCTCCTTACGCTACAAAGGTTCCTCCTCCTGGATCTTCAATCAAGTGTCTGTCAATGAATTTCCCTTCATTTACATTTTGTAGAGCAATCGAGACATCAAACGAGCAACGAGCATGGTATGGGATGTTTTTCTACATCAGCTTCACAATTCTTTCAAGCCTTTGTGCTATTATATATTCACTGAACCATCCCAACAGCATTGTTTGGATGCCACAGAACACTCCTGTTGTCAAAGGTAAATATTCAATGCCACATCTTCCCAAAAAAAGAAGCAATAATGACGTCTCATTACGGAGAAAGTGACAGCAAACATCTAAAACGTAACCTATGTCGTATCGCTCTAATTATTCCCTGATAGTTTAGACGCCTGAACCGCAGTCTGAGGTTCAGACTAATTGCCTTGACTGACAATATCCATGGGTTCACTCTTACTTTGGAGCAGTTTCTGGGTAAAACAGCATGCGAAGGCACGTGTGCAACCACCACATAGACACACACACACACACACACACACACAAGCTTGTGGACACAAGTACGTGCCATACTCATGCACAAGGCTCAGAGCCATACTCAACACACAAAGCGTGAATATGAATATGCAAATATATATTTTTTAATCAGTGTGGCAATCTGTCACTCAAGACTTGTGCTAAGCTGTGTTTGCCAGCATAGAGCGGTTTGTACTGTGTGTGTGTGTGTGTGTGCGTGTGTGTGTGTGTGTGTGTGCGTGTGTGTGCGTGACTATACCACCTGTTTTTAGAGTACATACATGACAGAACTGTCATAGGTTTTGTTTGCTGTGAAACACGAGTGCATTAATGTGGATGTAGGGATGTTGGTGAAGTCATATCTAATACAATTAGATGTAAACTTGCAAGCAAACAGTTGCTTATTCACACATCCAGCAGTTACAGAGCAACATCATCATGCATTTGTAATCGTGTTTCTGTCTACCTGATACATGTAAGTCCATTATTCACTCTGTTTCAGCTCTGTTTTCAGTCTCTACCAGCTTTGTCTTTTTAGCTGCTGTGTGCTTCACAACCTTCAACTAGCTAGTTGCTTTGTCTGTCTCCTGTTTGGTGCAGAGCAGGTAGAGTGGGCTTTTAGAGGAGTTTTTGCCCGCTGCAGCAGCGAACAATGCTATGAGAGCGAGCCAAATAAGTGGAATTGCGGCCGGACGCCCAAACTAAGATGAAAGTTGATATAAAGCTCCATAAAGGAGAGGGGATCTGCAGATTCTAGTGGTAATTCGATGAAGGTCCATCACGGCGATTGACAGCTGTCACATAGTCACTGTGTCATTTGATACATTGTAATTAAAATATGGACAAACGCTGCTTTGAAGCTACAAGGAGACAATTATATTTCGTGTTGAGCTTGGCCATCATGGTAGAGTTTTCGAGCACCAGACTTCCTTTAGAAAACCTCTCATTTTACTGCGACAGGGTCTGTCAGTTTGCACCGCGCAGTCCTGGTTCTGGTTCTCCAACCATGATCCAACCCAGTGGCACCGCATCAAGAAGAACTGTATAGAAATAGACAATCTTCTCGCTGATGGTGTTGTGTAATTACTTACATAGAGGCACCAGTATTAAATTAAGACTGTTTCATATTAAATACTTAAGTTTCTTTAGTAACTAAAGTAGAGGTATGGAAAAGTAAAAATACAAGGATTTCTTATTAAGCAGAATTGTTTCATTCAGTGTGACATCGTCTTTATAAAAGGTTGTAAAATAAAATGGAAACTGAAAAGGAAAAAGCAGATAATTTGAACTACACACTCACTCACACACACAGGTGTGTGTGTGAGTGAGTGTGGGTGAGAGTTTCCACAGGCCGAGTGAGGACATGTGATTAGAGAGACACACAGCTGAGCCCCGCTGTCCAGAGCCGGAGACCATAACTAACTCGAACAGACAGATCACTGTTTTTGGGGGTTTTTAACAGGAGAAAGCACATATTTTGTGTGTGTGTGTGTGTGTGTGTGTGTGTGCATGTCAGTGTGTGTCTTTGACATTCCCACAGTAGTCTGCCTTTGATACAACATCCACTAGCCCTACTAAATATCCCCTGATCTGTGGCCATGGCATTTACTTCCCCCTCATCCTTCCCTTCATCCCTGCTGCCAAACAACGCTCATAGGGACGACTGCCCTTTCATCAAGGGAGAGTGAGTGTGCGTTTGCGTGTGTATCTTCTCGCCATAAGAATCCTAATTTGAAGGAAAAATGCACCCACCAAAAAAAAATAAAAAATACATATTGCAAACAGGCTTCAAAGACAGGATTATCTCTGAGAGCCTCGAGAGGGAGTTCATGTTGCTCTGTACACCCACGACAGGCCTGGCTGCTCTGTGTGTTCACGTGTACGTTAGCACGAGTGTGTGTGTGTGTGTGTGAATACTTGTGTGTTGTGCGCAGACACTGAGCTGCCACATACTCCTGCAGTGACTGCGTGAAGATGAAGATCAATGCATATCAAACGTTTGACGGTCTTTTTGATGTGAGCAAACATAGGATTTAAGTGTACGGCTGTGTGTCTGACTGTGTGCAAACGCGTCGCCGACTCTCTTGTGTGTCGGTAGTTTCTGAATGCTTTCATTGCACATCGAGACGTCTGTGATTTCACTTGCCGTCATCATTGTTTGTAACTTTGCCCCTTGGCATTACGCTCGTAGAAAACCCCCCCACTGCACAGCATGCTGCCAAGTGCTGCCACAGCGACTTTGTACTACTTGCATGTATCATTTTCAAATTGAGAACAAAGGGTGAAACTTTTACTCTTTTTTCTTTCATTGTTTCTTTTTCGTTTGTTTGATTTGGTGACCTTAATTCGTCTGAATCTTAAAATTGGTCTCTAGTCTGGTAGAGCTGTTGCTGCACTGCAAAAAGCCCTTCTTGAGAAATAATTTAGGCTCGACCGTACTAATGTTAGGAGTTCCAAGACGCTCCTTGAATCATTTATTGTCTCGATGCAAAATGAATTGATTTTGCTTTTTCCATCTCGACCTTGTGCTTGAACATTTCTGCCTCAGATCAGAAACGTGTAACTTCATCTAAAACCCACGGGCATGTGTGTTGCCGCTTGTTCCTGAGAGAAACGCGGTATGGAGGAATTGAATTTGAGCCAGACAACTCGGTTTCTTACAGGGTTCAGTGGCTGCCACTGAGCTGCTGCCAGGTTCCTCATTTACCGCTGTTTATCACCGCCGGCCCCGCTAACATCACGCCCTGCGGGACGATAAATGGCTGGATGCCAAAAGAAATCCAGCGCATGAATCACCTTGTTGATGACAGAACAACACAGATTGCACGCGGCAACATGTGGAGCCGAACCCCTGCCTGTGTTCTGTCTTCCATCACATGATCCGCGCGCCCTCTCTGACAAGTGTAAATTGCGTCTGCAGTTGTCGCCGAGCGAGGTTTGTGCCGCTCACCGACGACACTCGTCTTAGCCTTGTTAGGGCTGCCACGACTGCTTTCTGATATGCTAAGAGCCGTGTTGGCTGTGTCACTGTGCTCTTAGTAAAGTGCTGTTGATCACACCGGCTAAACATGACAGGCCAATTCCTCAGGGAGGAAAGGAGAGAAAGAGAGAGAGAGAGGGAGGGTCAGGGAAGGAAAAGATTAAGAGAGGCAGATGAACAGAGTAAGCTAGGTAGAGAGCGGGAAAGGAGAAACTAGAATGATCGGCACAAATGGAGAAAAATGAGGTATACAGACCACAGTAAGTACCACACATTCAGAGGTAGAAGCACACACGCCGAAGTAATGACATGCAAATAATGGCATCTGTGTTTTCTGTGAGCAGAAAGCGAACACACAGCTCTTAGTTCACACGCTGTACGATACAGCCAGGCATTATCAAGCATTGTACAAACTTTAAGTAGTCGCGCAGCAAATAATCGCATCTGCGTTTCTGGATGTTTGAACGCTGCTCAGTCAGAACCGCCTGAAATCACTGCAAACACACACACACACACACACACACACACACACATATTCGGCCCACCTTGCCAGCCAGGCTTGCAGACGGGCTTGACGTCGATGCGGACGGGGACGCTGTGCAGGGCTCTCTTCTGGCCGCAGTCCCAGGCCGTCACCTGGATCTCGTACTGCTGCTGGCGGTCGTAGCTCAGCTTCTCCGTGTTCCGGATGTTGCCTTGGGTGGAGAAAAGAGGTTCAAGGTAAAAAATTCAACCCAAGTTGCTTTTTTGCTTCATTATAACGTGCTGTAGAGTAAATTCAGTTCCCCTATCGCGTCTTATAATGAATGAACATTTTTGCGCTGACACAGTGGGCGGCCACAAATTGCTATGTTTTGAAGTTTTAACATTTGAACAAAGCAAAACATGACCTACAATTATGCCAATTAATAAAATGTCCTCTGAACAAAGCACGTATGCAAAAAGCACTTGTGAACTCAATAAGTTCACACAACAATGGAAGCGCACATCGTTAATGGTAAACCATCAACTGAAAGGCAACGTAAAGTATATTTGCGTCAATATGTCGCTGTGTTATTAGTCAGCTGGTTACAGTTAACCGTCTCCTCACAAATGTGATGTTGCAAAACGTTAAAAGTGACAGTCAGCTATATACTTGCCAAAGAAACATCACTTTGTCACTTTAGCAATGTTTGGCGTCGTGCCTCTGGAGAGCTCGGATGTCGGACGTTGTACATTTAAACTCGGGAAATTCAAACATCTGGGTCGTCTGGAACACAGAATTATTCTGTGCAGTTTTGGTTTCTGTACTTCAGTATCTCGTTCCAGCGAGAGAAAAAAAACCAACACCTGAAATTAATTTAGGCAATTAAGGTTAATATGATTAGTCTGGTTAAGGGGATGGGATGATTCCATCGTTGGGGCAAGAGGCCTTTTTCACAGAAGACATGTTGGCATGTCACAGTTGGAAAAGCACAGGTGCACATATTGTCAGGAATAGTTTTAGGGTTTATAGTCCTGAGGCTTAAAGTAACTCCTAACCGGCAAAATTAGCATAAAACTCCCAAAAAATAAGGAGCATGTGAGTCCTAAAGTTAAAGCTCAAAAGGTTTTTGTCTAAGAGAAATTCATTGTAGCATTAAAACTCTGGCTGTCGAGGTTTCAATGTCTACCAACTGTTCATTAGAGGGTTCTCTGTGCTAACAGATGCTTTTTGGCTGCACTTGAATATGATAACCTCTTATTACTCATACCCTTGATCCTATTTCATACTAATTATGGAAAATGAGATATTAACGTTATTGCCAATTAGCATTAAAATACACTAATGTGATTACAGAGAGCACAAGAGTGAGGGACTGAGCGGTTAACTTACCACTCGGCGGTGAGGGTTTAATCAGCACAACAAATACAAACAATCCAATAAAACCCATGATCATTTGTGCAACTCTTTTCTGATTAGCTGCTGAAAAAAAGCCAGTGAACTTTGAATATTCTTCACAGCCACTTTGTTTGCACCAGCTGTAACTAATTTGAAAGGAATTAAGCTAAAGACGTTTATGCTCGTGAATGCCTTTTGATTGAAGTGAACTTTTATTTTGCCTTTTATCTCGATTTTACCCTTTTTCTTTCACTTATTCTTTTTCATTCCTCTAGCCTGTGTCCTTTTAGGAATTTCATTAAGCATTGAGTTGAAAATCTCTTTCCTTCACTCTGGCATAAGGCCGTGGAACTGGTGAAGTGGTTCTGGAAGTTATTATGAAAATGTGTCATGTTTTTGTGAAACCTTTTATTCTGTAATAAACACCACAAAAACCCAAATCTGTGACTGAAAAATAGTCCAGAGTTTCTCGGCCACCAGAGATTTGGAGACTTTATGGAGTCATAAAACGGCTGTGTGAGCTTTTTACATCTAAACGAGCTTCATTTCATTGTAGTAATAAGCAATGTGCAACATGTGATTTCATATTCATTGCTGCTCTCAACTTTCAAATGTATTCCTAACGGAGCAGCACTTCAGTCTGATGACTTTCTGTTTACTGACACAAGCCTTCAGAGTTTAGTCTGTATAACTATAAAACGTTTAAAAGAAGTTAAGTATAAACTTTAAACTGTATTGAGGAAAATAAGAGCAGTCACGCTCAAGTGTCTTCTACAGCCTTGTGTTTCTGTCTGGCTTATTTGACTTATTTGATAATACAGAATCTTTATGTATCACTGCTTATCTGCCTAAACACTGTGTGTTTGTGTGTGTGTGTGTTTGCTTAAAGGAGTAATGGGTATTTAATTTCAATTTTAAAGCATCATTATATATCATTGTCAAATTAACTGTGATGCCTTAATTTAATCACTATAACAAATGAGATCATGTTGGGATGACAGGTAGCCTCTAATCTTGCACAAGTGGTTTGATTACCGCTAATGTTTCTCAAAATTAAGACCACGTTTCCATTAAACCCCCGTCGCTTCCTGACGCAATGAAGGTATTAGTACCGGCCCTCCCCTCACCTACCTGGTGTTACCTTTGTGAAGGAAACAAATACATATATTAAAACTACCCCCATAACCGAAGTACATATTCATCTTTTGTGTATCGTATTATGACTTTAGACGGGGCTTTTCCAATGTCTGAGAGAATGACCCTGATTACATCGTTGGTTACCTCACACCTTACAATTTGTGGGTCCGTCACGTGATGCCATTGAGCCCAGGAATACTTTTTTCCCGTAGACTTAGATTGGGGGAAAAAGTGTGGAAAGTTGTGGAAAGCCTCCTGCGGCTCCGGAGGGAGCTGTGGGAAATCTGAGGCATCGACTCAAGTGATGTCACTTGAGTAAGCGGCATATTGTTCATGAAAAAGGGACGGACGGATGGACAAACAGCCCGACAACATAATGGCGCGGAGGCATAAAAAATGAGGTGTCAACGATTTTGTCATGTCAGAATGCCGCACACAGCACCTCAAAACAGAAACAATCAGCAGTACAATCATCTACAGTACAATCAGCATCCAGACCACATTCAGTGACTGAGAGGCTCCTGCCTTGTCGGTAACCGCGGCCCGTTTACCAAACCAGCGTCTTTTCTAATGCTAAGCAGAGTGCATGAAGGGAACTCTTGTGTCTCCGTTAATATTTAATGAGTCTCCCGCTACAGACGATTGACAATGCTCAACACGCAGCCGGGCCTGGGTGGGGAGGGGGCACCCTGACGGAGAACACTTGCGGGAAGCAGAGAGCTTTGGGAAGAGACACCGTCGGCCCTTATTGGCTGCGAGTTGAATCGTAGCTGGAATGAGTTACTGCGACTCGTATTACAGACCGGATTCGTCTTGAGGTTTCTGTATTGTGAGGAGAGAGGTGCAGAGGGAGCTGAATGTTGATAATGTGATATATTTGAATACGGGAGTGCGAGTGGGAGGATTAGATGCAATTCATACGAGGACGGCTTTGTTCGGCTCCCCGTCCTTTCCCATTCTCTGTCTCCCTCTCAGCTCGTTTAGAATTCCTTCCCTCCTCGTTCTGCCCTTTCCAACCTTCCCGTTCCATTTCAATGCGCATCATTGTCTCACTTTTCTTTGCAGCCTCATCCGATCTCACTGTTTGCTGCCTCATCTGTCGTGCTGCTTGCCTCCTATTCTTTTCGCAAGTATGCGGATGCACAATCACACACTCGCACCTTTCGGCATGACGGAGGGTCGTATTCCTTCAATTAACCACGTCAACTTATCCGTGTCAGCAGGCTGTGCGTGCTGTGACTGCTGGCAAGGGTGGCCAGCGAGGAAATGGCTACTTTACCCTCCATCTCGCCCTCTCTTTGTGCCTCTCTATCAAAACATACGCACAGGCAAAACACCTAGCATCCGTCACTGTGAGATCCATTTATCAGCCCTTTATAATTACTATCCAACACAACCACAGAGCATTAATGCTGCTTAGTCCTTCTCGTCTTTGTTTAAAGGACAAGTCTGGAATTATTCTGTATTATTCTTATTGTCACCAAAAATCCAAACTTTCAGTCCATCTCTTTCTGACTTCCCTGCTCTGTGTGTGCGTTGTTCCTGTTGAGGATTTTGGGCATCTAAAAATGTCTCGTTCAGCATTTGGTTGTGCTTAGCTCCACCTTCTCGTGTCACTTCTGGTAGCAAACAACCAAGATGGCGATGGCCAAAATCCAAGATGGTGACGGCCAGAATGCAGAACTTGAGGCTCCAAACCAATGTCCCCAAACCAATGGGTGACATCATGTTTACTAGGTCCACTTCTTATATACAGTCTATGGTATTCACAGTACCAAGACGGGCTATGGGAGATTGACTGAAAATAAAGGACCATGTGACTCAGTGCAACGTTGTGGCTCATTGGTGTTATTAATTGTTTTGGGGCAGATAAAACAGAGGTTTTAAGTTACTCAGGCTTTGGCTACACAGTTTTCTATTTGCTTCTCTCGCTGCTCCTCTCTTAACACTCGCTCTCACCCTCACAGCCAACTCCTCCTCTCCTCCCTCCATTCTCTCCCTCTCTCTCTCTCAGGTGCTCTTGAGTTCAAGAGCTCTCAGAGCCTTTTCCTCAGCGGTCAATGGCTGAGTGAGACCCCTTCAAATGGGGAGAGAGAAGAAAGAGCACTCTGGCTGCAGCCTCCCCCCCCCTCTGTATCACTCAGTGCAGTTTGGCCCTAACCTCAGCCACTCAACCTTCGTACTGCAACACCTCAGCAGTGGGCAACGCTCGGTGGTCGGCAGCAGGAAAATAACTTAACAGCAACGTCTCTTCCATCGTGTCCTGAATAAAGACAAATAGCGTGTTTGCAGACTGTTTAGATGAATCACTAAAGCCAGTTGTATTTAAACAGCCTGTCTAATAGTGGTAACAATCAAGAGGGCTAAATTCTGCGTTAAACTGTGCACTCGAAGGACACATTTTATCCTACTTGACTTTGTGTGAGCTTCTCAACAACAGTGTTAAAAGAAAAAAGACAAAACTCTCGTGTGTCCTCCATCAAACTAGGAAGCACCAACATTTTTCAGTAGAGGACATGTTATCGGAGAGAATACCCAATCTCTCACAAACCCATTATGGCTGTATTTGTATGTGTGTGAGTAGCAATAACTACCATTAATTGAAATGTTCATGAACCAAGTTACAAAGTACAAGTGGCAACTTGTCAAAGAAGTTCAAGTAAATTTGTGAGGGTATTTGAGAGTGTCTGATTTTTTTTTTTTGTGCTCAGACTTTTCTGATCTGATTTGTGGTGACCGATGGCTCTCCGGGCAAAGCTTGACTTTGTCCTTGGAAAGAGCAAATAACACATTTTATCCTGGGGAGAGACATCTGTCACTACCAGAGTGTATGCAGATACACGTGTGTGTGTGTGAGTGTGTGTGTGTGTGTGTGTGTAGTATGAGCGTATCTCTTGTGGCTTTAAAGTGCATTTCAGTGCAGATCACGAGAGTGCAGATCACGAGAGCCACTGTGTTTTGACAGAAACGTAATTTTGCATTTTCTTTAAATATGATTGAAAGCAAAAAATAACTTTATGGGAAGATGTTCTTTGGCCTAAGGGAAATTACTGAAATAAGTGAAGCAGAAATGCTGTGGATGTGGCTGGTGGAAGGAAAATGGGTCGACACCTCACCTCAACATCTTTAAATTCACTGAATATCACACCCTGTTGACAATTTAGGTGCGTGAACAAGATTCTTTGTGGCAAGTATACTGACGTATCTGAGGGCTTTGGCAACGGGCAGCCCTGTTAATATAAAACCCGGCATCCTGTATTCTACTCACCGTTGCGATCTATAGCAAAGGGCGTGTTGGTGGTGGTGATCTGGTAGTTGCAGATCTGGCTGTACTGTGGGGAGCAGTCCTGGTCGGTGGCCTCCACCTGAAGGATGCTGTCGTAAATCTTACCCTCCGTCACTGCGGCTCGGTACTCGGGCTCCCGAAAAACCGGGGCGAACTCATTCACATCGTTGACCTGGATGTGCACCACGGCCCTGCAGACAACAGGGGGCAACAGAGGAGAGGAAAGTGCAGATTAGTGTACAGAAGTCCATCATCTGCATAGAGCAGAACGAGTTTTAAGACAGTTGATCCTGTTACCTTGGTGCTTACAGGACAAAAGGGAGAGATATATATATATATACAAGATGGCGGCGCGTGTAGACGCAGCGACCCCTCTCTGTCCGGACCATGTGGTGTTTTGTTCTGTTACTAAATGTCTGTACGAAAGTTGTTCGTCTTCATCTCGTCTGTCTACGTCGGAACGCAAGTACAGTCGCCAGGTTCTGTTAATCATCGGCAGGACCAAGCTATTGCCTAAATGTTTTTTTAATCTATTGCACTGTATTCACTTTATATGTTTATATGTTGGACTAGAGAGAAACATCTTTTCAACTCCCCTAAATGTCCAGTACATTGTGGAATTGACAATAAAGCAAACTTTGAACTTTGAGTTGTAGTCATTTAGACAGGATGAGCAACTTCGCTATACTATCTATTCATTTCCATAAAAATGTTATTGATGTAACTCATAAAGGCGCTCCCCACCAACTGTTCACATGATGCTTGCTTTGCTTTTAAAGAGGGAGTGGTCCTGAGCCTGTATAAACGTTTGCATAATGTGTTCTGCAGGTCTGGAGAAAGCTTTTCTGCAGCGTCTCAGATGATTGTTAAGTTTGAATGGTGGAGCGCAGAGTTCACTCCTGGAGATCAATTAGTGAGGTAACCAATAGTCACAATGTGCTTTGTGTAATACACCGCCTGTACCTGACCTGACCCAATGGATTGCTTTGATTGTGTTGCTATATGGCAAAGTAATCCCCTGGATTTCTTCATGTACTATACGCACAAGTCTTCAAGTGCACTAAACTGCACTAATTAATCATTCCATAAGTGATCTATCAGCAGTAATTCATTTTAAGTCACACATGGGGAATAAAACCCCACCATTCATCACTTTAGCAAGCCTTCATCAATACTCTCCGGCGGCCAGAAGGCAACAGATTGCATAATCAATCCTTCGATTCATTGACTGACAACCGGTGATGGATGACGATGGGACAGACTAATACACGTTTAAGCAACGAATGGCAGAAAATACAAAGTAGTGCTGTGCTTTGAGAGACAAAGGGGAAGAAATGAGAATGTGGTTTATAGGATTAGCTGGCCGGTATGGTAACGAGGGTGAAATGATCCTATTAGAATAAACTGTAAATATCTCTCCAACATGTGGTCGTCTGGAGGTGGAGAATGGACAACAAAGAGAAAGACAGTTGGGAGGCCGGGCCCACGCAGAAAGGATTTCCATGCTGCCTTATCGCTCCCTGTCATAAGTGCACAAAACATTGGCGACTAATTGTTTTTTAGCTTCTCCACACAAACGGATCCGCACTTAAATAGTCTGATAGAAAATAAGAAACACATAAACAACTGGAGTGCAAGACGGGCAAACATGGGGTACAGGCAGCGGTGGTATAAGTAGGTTTACTTAAAGTCCCAGTGAAACGGAAGTTGGAGCGTTTTTACCGTCTGTACTGGGACATATTTCACAGTGAAACTTAATATTTGAGCGGTGACATGTTACAAGAGGGATTTAAATAATATGATTTGCATTTGATTGGACAGTTTAAAAGTAAAAATCATTTATTTATTATCTACCTTATCCAATGTAATTAGGTGTTAAAGTATATAACATCTTTATGGAGCCTCATACCTGACAAAAAGTAGTGAAAAATAACTCCATGCTTCAATATTTAAAAAATAAACATAATGCCTCCGCCCACTTCAAACCAGTGACAAGAACACAATTTCTGTAAAATCTCCTTTATAGAAATTGATTACGTTAAATACCCAAACTGTGTTCATAGGACCATTATTCATAGTAAGACGCTGCTTGAGAAGATATATTTGCGGGGCCTTTAAATGATCTGAATACTTCCCTCCCCCACTAGATACAGGTGGAGAATACCCAAATGAACACCTACAAGACATGATTAATCGCTGGGTTTTAGGATTTGTGGGATGTTAACAGCGATGCTAACAGCAGTGAAGATGGCGATAAGAAGCACTGACAGATGATGGCAGCACCAGTTGGTGCAGTAAATCCCTCAGCCAGCCTTGTTTTGTCATATTAATGTGGCTCTCTCATAAACATTACCCCCCTGCTCTGACACACTCCCCAACAGTGAGGGAGCAAACATATGTTCCACTCCTCTGGAGCTTGTATGGAGGGGCCGCTGTGTGTGTGTGCGTGTGTGTGCGATTATGTATTCATGCACACAAGTGCATGAATACATAACTAAATGCAATAATTGTGAAAACTTCTCATTCAGAGTGTGCATGTGAGTGTGTGTTTTCTCTGCTGATGGCTCACATCTGGCTGAAACAGACGCCTGGCTCTCCAGGGTGATGATTTTTCCAAGTGTGTGTGTGTGTGTGTGGGGGGGGGGGGTTTTCATGTTACTGGATCCTTGCCAGACTGAGCCCATTCCCAGCCGTTCCTCCCTGAGACAGACCTCAGGTCATAAGCAAAGTCCACAATGAGTCAGAGTGACACAAAAAGGGGGGGTTAAGTGACCCCATGGGTGTGAGAATGATCAGGATAAAAACCAGAGCCAGGGGGATAGCTACTTGGATATAGGTTTAAAAAAACACATCCCCACAATGTATGAGGAAATCAAATCTACGAAAAAACTGATTTTTTGTCATGAACAACATGATGCTGAAGTGCTGATACATGCTTCATAAGAAGTCGCTTGGATTACAGCAATTTAGATTAGAGTTAGTTTAGATTTTGACTAATACAAGAACAAACATGAGATTTGCTCTGGTCTTATGGCACTGCACTGGCTGCCTGCATCTCTTACACCTGATTCTAACTTGTTGATAAAGCCTCACATGACCAACATTAGCACGTTCCTACAGCGCAACAACAAAAGTTTCCAATCCGTTTGTGTCAAAAAACACTGTTGCTGGAAATAAAACAAAAAGACTTTCATCTAATAAAAAGGAATGAGACGATGTTTGCAGTCATCTTCAAGGACATAAATATCTCATTAGAAAATGAAGCAGTGGAGACGTATGTCGGTGCCAGGTGTGATTCCAATGCAGCTAAATCATTATGCAGACCCAATCAGATACCAGCTGCATGTCAAAGCCAGGCGATGCATGTTAATGCCAGGTTAGTATTGTTCCCAGCTTATTGCATATTCATCCACACCCATTATTTATCAACACGCAGCTACACACAGCCACTCAAGCAGAGTCATTATCGAATACCTCCTTTGCGTGCACACACACACACACACACACACGCACGCCTGCCCGCCCAACACAAAGGCAAAAGACTCAATTAATCTTTGTCAAGAATTAGACAAGAGGTTGAATCATCAATTTCCTTGTGTAAGACTAGAATGGAAATAAACAACCCTAACTATACCAGTGGGACCAAATGGGATGGTAACCTCATCAATATGCAAAGAAATCCACTAGCCCCCCTAGGCCCTCGCACAGAACTCCACCAGGTCCCGTGTGATCTCAACACAAGGTGATTATAATGCATTGTAATCCAGTTCAATGTGTAGCTTCACGCCCACATCCTGTTTAATTCAACTCATTGATGGATAGCTTGGACTATCATGCCCCAGAAGAGAGGAATATGGAGGAAGAGATCATCTCAGTCAGAAAATGAAGATTTTACATTTAAGAGAATTTGGGCATGTCCATTTGCTCGACTCTGCTGACAAATTTCTAAGACGTGCGGCGGCATCTGATCGTGTTTTGAATCAGGGATGCGAATGGTTGTGTCGCTTTCTCTCGCCTGGTAAGTGAAGCAGACAAGCACAGATGGTGCAGTTCCTGGCGGTGCATATTCATAATTGAAACGCAGAGACTATACTCTCCTAATACATTATGTTAGTTGAAGATAAACAACATATTCACTAGATGGGTTTTTTCTCCCTTTCTTTCTTGCCAGGAATAATAATCACGTCGACTAACGGGTTTTGACAGAATGAGGTTTCACTTATGTTAGCATCAAGTGTGACAAGCGTGAAGTTGAGATTCTTGGTAGAATAATGCGCCGACGCTTTGACGGGGCGCCACGCTATCTGTGTGGAGAACCCCGGTCCTCTCACAGCAGAAATTTATCTTGACAGCTTATGCTAACGAGGCACAGCTTTTGGCCCACTTCTTCACTCATAAAGTGACTTTTATTTTTAATGTCAAGCGTGTTTTTAGGTGTTTGTCTATGCGTCCGGGTGTGTTTGCGTGCGTGTTTGTGCGCGGTCAGGTTACGAGATGCCAAAATCTATCCCCGGCCACGGTATTTGTCTTATTTATATGTAAATGTAGGTACATCAGCATGAATATTTGACTCAGCATTTGGGTGGATGTGTGTGTGCATGGCTGTCCTTCAGCTCGCTGTTCCATGAGATAATTAGCCTCTCCTAACTGCAGCGAGGTTGGGACATACAGGCCTCAAAGATTCACTAATGATGACTTTAATAACTACCGCGTTGCCAAGCGACGAGTACGTGTGCGAATGTGCGGCTACGCTGATGCGACAAAACATCAGTGTGTCTCCATTACATCTACATTTTCTCTCTCACACACACACACACACACACACGTTTGTACACACGTTTGTACACACACAACCTTGGGGTTACCCAGCCCTGCTGTAATGCATTACCCCCTCCCCGACTGACTCCAGGCACTTAACCCCCTCCCCCCCCGGGCTGAGGTTAAATACACGTGTCGTGATTAGGTGCGAGACCTGGTGGGGATCGTGGATATGACAGGCTTTGCGAGGCCGCGAGACGTCCCTTATGCCTAATTACTCCAATAGCAATAGGAGAAACTCGCACAGAGCAAGGTGTGTGGGGAAACAGTACGGAGACTTCTAGTCTTCAGATGCTAACTAGTCAGAGATTACATGCTTGCTTTTTCGACTGTACCCACGCCAAAGGCCTTCAAAGGCTCAGTGCTCAAGTGGTTCATGCACCTCTTTCCCTTTTTACTTACTTTTTCCCCCTCTGCCTCTCAGACACCACTGTTCATCTCCTTACCAAATTGAATAGAAATCCATCCAATAGTTTTTGAGATGTTTCAGTATTGACCAATGTTTTGGTTTTACCGACAATGCGATTCCTGCAGACCTCTTATGGTTACATCTATTTCCCCCTCTTCCTCCTTTAAGGAGCAGTGAGGAGGTTCAATTACCTTGCTCAAATCTGTGTGACAGTATCATTTGCTTTTTAGGCAAATTATAATATTCTTCATTTCTGCTGCATCAGATCATATCTCACAAACAGCCATCAGAGTTTTTCTTTGTTGATAAAGTTTTAGTTCAGTTCGGGATTCATTTTCTGCACACCCGAAGACTCTTCTCAGAAAAACAGCGGTAGTTGACACCAATTAAATTCTCTTTTCATTAATGTTTAGTCTGAATCACATCAATGGATGGACATTTATCACGCAGGCTTTTAACGACCACGGCTGAGTACACTTCACAGTTCAGTACAAACTGTTCATCTGGCAGAGGTCAGCACTACAGTGTCACAGATTAATTTGTGTTTCATTTAAAGCTGACCGGAGCAGAAAGAGTCCCAAGGAGTTTGAGGTGAATTCATTTGAGCTTTGCACTTTGCTGACAAGTGACTAAATCTTCCGCAGGCAGCCAAGTAGAATATCTCAGAGGGCAGAGTGAAGCGATGCGATGCAGAGCCGGCAAACGTGTACGCCGCTACATCGGCGCTCTGACTCAGAGAAAAAAGGTGGTCATTAACACCGATGTTTACGAAGCGGTATGCCGCTAGTGGCTTCTTGCAAAGTCACCGCGAGTGGAGGAACACGCGACACTCTCACCGGCTTCGCCGCATGACATATGTGCTCAGCGCTTGACACGGCGGTTTTTGAAAAAGGAAACAACATTTCATTTGTGTGCAAAAAGAAAAAAAAGTATTTCTGTCACACTGAGAGACAGATTTGTACAGCCGGGCCAGAGAGCGCATCCATTTGTGAGTGCTGAGGCAGTCTGATGAAATATTCAAACACTGGAGTCTGTAGCAGAGACAGAGGGACTGACAGATAGAAGGACAGAGTCAGACAGCGGGGGCTAGCTGAGCTGGAGCCAGCCAGCAGACAAAAAAACAAAGCAGAAATATATATAAAGGAGTGAGAAGTAGGGCAGCAGCCAGGGTGAAGTTTAAACTCGTGTCGCTCCTGATCCTCTCCCCTGTCCTCTTTAGCTGCTAATTCTCTCGACTGCCTTCCCTCTCCGCTGCCTCAGTCCCTGTTCGCTTCCTTCTAAACTGGAGAAGGAGAGCGAGAGGCCAGACTCGTCATTAGAGAGTTGTCAGCGAAAAGGACAAGGCCATTCAAAAGTGTCCCCCGAATTCACTTCCCCCTCCGGCATCGGCCTGTCTGCAGCCACCAAACTGGGTCTGCGTCGCAGCGGGCAGTGGTGTTATCTTAATAGAAAGTAATAGTGTGACATAACAGACGGCCCGGGTGCTTAAAGAGGGATATGAAACAGGACCAACAGAATAGAAATAGTTGCACAAATCCACCCACACACCCTCTTTGCCTTCAGCACACAAAGTCTCACACGGCAGACAACATATAGTAGACACAAGTTACGCTCTACTGATTTAAAATGTTCACCGCGGCTAGAAAGGCCCTGCTGCTATAATTCAGTGTGTACAGTGTGTGTGTTTGTGTGTGTGTGTGTGTGTGTGTGTGTGTGTGTGTGAGCATCCATAAGCTAGACAAGATGATAGATCTATGTGCTTGGCTCCGTTGTTGGCTGAGGTGAGGAGGTTGAGAAGCAGACACAGAGGTGGAGATGTGCAGTGTGCAGAGGTAGTTGTCCAAAAGAGCAATTTGAGAGAAAGGCTGCTTTCAGGAGAGCCAACAAGTGTGACAAATTGTTTTTATCAGTTGACCTCTTTATAGTGGTCCACTGGTACTTGTGGAGGCGGAGATGGGTGTGCTGGCACGAATGGGCCTCGGAACAATGTGGGATTGCACTGCAGCTGAGTGGACGGCAAGCACTCGGAGGGAAAGTAAAAATCTGAGAAGCATCTTTAAAATAATGTGCTGTCACATTACAGCACATTATTATTATTATTAGGCTGGTTGTACTGAGACGTAAAACAAATAACTTCTTTTACTTTAAATGTAGCACTCGAAGCGGTTCAGCATACAGTGTTTGCTGAAGTTTCTTTCTGTGGGTTGTACTCACATGCCCTCATTGTAAGTCCCTCGGGATAAAAGAGCCAGCTAAATGAATGTAATGCAATGTAGACTTGAATTTACATTTAGTTTTCTTTCGAAATACAGTTACAGAGTCCCCACAGTCCAGTTTATTAAAGTCTAGACCATCATTAATCAGTATTACATTTGAAAAGAACAGGATTTCCAGTGCCTTGAATGCAGTCTTTTCTTTACTTTTATCTAACTTCATTGTGTTGTTGCAGAACCTTGCCAAAGCGATTCAATCAGTCAGTGAGAGTCTTTTCATCCATGGGATAAATAAGTACGGGTGCAGGCAGTATTGATATTCAAAAAAATGATTAAAGGCCATACCAGCTCAGCTGTTAGTCGAGCTTTTGCAGGTGAAGTGGTTTAACTGAAGGCAGCGGGGAAAATATAACATATGCAAAGTTGGGGTTAGGGTTGCTGGTTATTTAGCTCTATTGAATGCCGTTAGTTGAAACATGTTCTGCATTTTCCTAAAATCGATGCACTCGTCAATGTCACGTTTCATGAACCGACCAATCACGGCCGGTCCGTCCCTGATAGAAAGAAGCTCCACCTGATTGTCTACTTGCCCCTGTGTTAGGAAAGTGGACGACCTCCAGGTACTTCCAGATAGTTTTTCTTTGGACCATCTATAGAAGTTGAATGAGAACATCTCTGACGCATGTTGTTGGTGCTGGCAGCTTGTTGGGGCTCTGCTCCAAACACCCACTTCCACTCTTTGTATCCTCAGCAGTCGTGATTCCTATTTGTCTCGTACCAGTTTAAACTTGTGCGTTCTAAAACCACCGCTGTTTTCTAGTGGAGCTGACAATGTGATTGAACTTCAGCCATTTTCTAAATTAATGATAAATTAAACAATAAGTACTTGCAGCTTTGCATAATTTAGCCCAAGTGTTTTTATATGAATAATGGAAAATTCTTGTTTATTTGATTCCCTGTTCCCTTGTCCTTGGTGCTCTTTCCTTTTCTGTGACTTTGCACAAGCACGCCACGTCCGCGCTGAAATTCATTCTAAAGCATAAAGTCAAACCTAGACATCACACTCTTTGCCTGGAAATGGTCACGGTATGTATCTGCATGTATACTTGTGTATTCTGTCAGACTTCAGCCCCCCCCTGTTGCTGTCTTACTCACTTGTGGGACTTTTTGACCTCCGTGCCCCCGGAGCTTGAACCGCAGTCATGAGCCTGGATGATGAAGGTGTATTCCTTCTGCAGCTCGCAGTCCACCAGGCCACGGGCCCTCAGCTGGCCCTCACCAGACGTACCGTTCAGCACCACTGCCTCGAACGGAGCCTCCAGCCCGTGGATGTTGAACGCACAGATTTCCCCTAGAGACCAGGCAGAAGGGAGGGAGGTAAAGGAGATAGGAAGAGGAGGAGGAGGAGGAGGAAGAGGAGTGAGCTCAGTGTTAATCGCAGTCAGTCAGGTGGAATACAGTTCAGTCTTAAAGAGGGACTCTTGTTGGCATATGATGTTAATACATGTGATGTTTCCCAACAAAGCGAGTATTACCCACACAGTGACTCTCTTAAAGAGCAATAAATTAGCTTCTAGCGACCACTTGGTGTTGGATTGATTTAGGAGTTTTGGAGAAAAATGGGAAGAAAGATGGCTGGTTCCAGGTAGACCGGTTCAGACTCCTACATTCCAAATGCATAAAGACGCAGCAAACGTGAACTTCAATAACTTCTCTCTCACCGATGTCCCTGGGCAGTCCTGGAGGTTATTAAACTCACAACTTTAAGTTGCAAAGATCTATCAACTCTGGAATAGTGCGTATAGTCAAGGGAAGCTGCAGAACAGAGTCTATTCAGAAGTTTATGAATGCTATAGGAGAGCTGGGCTGGCATTAATGCGCAGGCTCGAGCATCTCATCTTCTTCTTTGGGGTTTTACGGCAGCTGGCGTTGCATAACTGCCACCTGGATGCGAGAAGTATCTCAATCCTAATTCACATAACGTGAACGTTTTATGTTCACACAACACATATATATTTTGTACAGATATAAAGAGACAAAATGACCTGGACTTTATTTGAAAAAAATACGTTAACGTAGCAAAGGCATATATTTTAAGTCAACTAAACATAAAAAAAAGAATGTCTACAACCACCCTGATTAATTTTTTTGAGTGTAGGCTTTCACCGAGTTTCCCCACCTGTTGGGTAATTTCTACCATTTAGAGTTATGGTTGAGGAAAACAAACAAACTATGATACAAACAAGAAACAGCAGCAGAAGCTGGAGGTTTAAAGATACATCATGTTCCCGGCAATGCACCGTCTCTATCTAATCGGTCTTGTGAATATGTAGACATCTCCGTGGCCAAAAGACAACATATAGCACACGTTACATGAGTCTGAAATAAAACTATGACGTCCCCCTTGTGGAGAGATACAAAGGAAGAAAAAACCCATTTAAATCCAGAATGAGCAGCTGACAAGAGCAAAACAAAAGAGCCAAGAAGCAGCTGACATTTTATTAGCAGGTTGTCTAAAGAAGTGGTCCATTTGTGGAGTTGGTGAGGGAAGTTGTTTCTTTCTTCTTTTGTCCTATTTTTTTTTTTTCTTTCTTGGCGACTCGACGTCCCCAAACGCTCCCACTCGTGGGATTTCAGGAAATCACTTAACGCGACCGGCTCACACTCTGACCCGTGACAGCTAATTGCACTGATATCACTTAAACTAACAGCGAAGAATAAATTGGATTCCCGAGCAGCTTTGTGTGCGCGTTGCTCCTGGCAAGTTCTGATAAGAGCAACTTTATTTTCTACCGCCTTCCCCTTTCTCTCCCCTTTTCATCCGGTTTCTGTCATAATCCCCACAAACCTCACCTCACCCTTCCTGTTGGGGCAGGGGCTCTGAAATGACAATTTGCCCTCGGAGGAGCTACAGGCAAAATGATAAAGAAAGAGCGGAAAAAATGGGAAATAAGAGAATAGGGAGGTGGCGGGGGGGGGGGGGGGGGGGGGGGGG